GTGTGTGAGTTTCTTATTGCTGAAACAAATTATGAAAAGTTTAGTGACTTGTGACAATACAACTTTATTGTTTTATAGTCCTGGATTTCAGAAGTCCAAAATGGGTCTTACTGTGCTAAAATTAAGATGATAACAGGTGATGGAGGTTCCTGTCTGTGGAGAATGTAGGGGAGAATCTGTCTCCTTTTCTTTTCTTGACTCATGGCCCCCTAATGTCTAAAATGCTAACAATAGCCAATCCAATCTTTCTTACCTGACATCATTTTGACACTCCTTCTTCTGACTCCCTACCTCACTATAAAAGCCCTTGTGATCACACAGGCCCACCTAGAAAATCCAGGAAAATCTCCCTATTTTTAAGATCATCAGCAATTTTATCAGCAACCTTAATTTCTTCTTGTATTACAACATATTCCAGGATTGTAAGGATTAGGATTTGAACATCTTTAGGGAGTCAATATCCTGTGTAGGGTGTCCAAGGAGAGCAGTTATAAACCCTTGAATTTTCTTCCACGTTGAGGAACAGTTATCTTCTGGCAGATAGATTGGTTTTCTGCTTTTTTAACATTTCTATTTAACATTTAAATTCTTATTTGACAGCTAGTAGAGATGACCTTGCTTAAATGTTTCTCAATTCTTGACATCCACGAGAGAAGCATGGAATAGATAACAATGAGATATATCTGACCCAAATAAACATGCTATTTGGTCCATGAGGATTCCACTCATGAACATAGAACCATGACCAATACAGAAGGAAATTTAAGGGTTTCCTTTTCCTAATCCCTTTATATACCCTCCAATCCATACATGACTATTTAAAACAATAAGTGAAAAAGGAGACAGGCGCAGTGGCACACGCCTGTAATCCCAGCAGCTTTGGAGACTGAGACAGGAGAATTGCAAGTTCAAAGCCAGGCTCAGCAATGTTGAGATGCCAAGCAACTCAGTGAGACCCTGTCTCTAAACAAAATACAAAATAGGGCTGGGAATGTGGCTCAGTGGTCGAGTGCTCCTGGGTTCAATCCCTAGTACAAAAAACAAAAGTGAAAAAGGAGCCAGGCATGGTGGCATATGCTTGTGATGCCAGTGGTTTGGGAGGCTGAGAAAGGAAGATCGCAAATTCGAGGTCAGCTTCAGTAACTTAGCAAGGCTCTAAGCAACTTAGGAAGATCCTGTCTCAAAATAAAAAATAAAAAGGGCTGGGATGTGTCTCAGTGGTAAAGTGACTCTGGGTTCAATTCCTGATACATATTTGGATATGTTCTTGCTGAAACAAATCCAGGGATATAGTTTATTCATATTCTTCCCTTGTTTTTCCCCTTTGCTGGTCTTTTAAATGCTGGCTGCAGCCAGTTTAAACTGGGACTCATTTCCAACTATCAAGTATCAAGCTATTCCAGGCTCCTTTCCAGAATAACTTATTTTCCTGTCATGGCCCTTGGTCTTCATTTTAACTTAAGGTCTACCAAACATTCCCATCTCAAGTACTCAGTAACATTTGAGTGAACCTGTAGTTTCTAGGGACAAAAAGATTAAAAAGGAAAAAATACCTAGCCCCCAATTTCAGTTTAATAGCCTAGCTCTCAGTTCTCTCTTAAGTACTCCTACCTTTGAATCTACTGAGCTCTTTTAATGAAAAGTCCACGTTTCTGGCCACCAAAACTTTGATTCTACCAAATAAAATTTTACAATTATTTTACTTAATAATTTTACATTACTTATGAATTTCTTTGGGGTGGAGTGCTCTAACTGTCCCAGAATGCAAAGATTGCCAACTCTTACTCAGAGTAGGGGAAAATAGAAAAATTAAGAAAATTAATAGAAAAATTAAAAAAGATTTTCTATCTATTTGAAACCACTCTTTGAGTATGTTGAAGAGAGGAGACTGACAATGTCATCTCTTATCTAGGCCCATGAACAAAGGTATAAGTGACCTACCAAAGTCATCACTAACTTCTCTTCAGAAGCTTGACAAACAGGCCTGGGGCCTCTCAGGGAATAGTTTAAACTTTGGCTAGGGTTGTTTTGTGGATGAGATGGTCACTCCAAGCCTCTAGATTCTTTGATTATGGGGTGTCTGATGGGCATCCCTCACTTGAATAATAAGACACTTATGTGTCCTCATAAACTGTTATTTCACTACCAGTTGAAGCCCAGGAGTAGAGATTACATATAGGAAGCTTCATCCCAATTATTGCACTAGGTGACAATAATTACCTCTAACTTTAGAAATAATTTTGCTATTATATATTAAGCTCTTTCTAAGGAACTATCAAAAGCTTCTGCATCCATCACTGTTATTGAAATCATTAACATGTTTATTTTATTTGAGGACTGGCAAATTCTGTTTGGACAAGAATTCCACAGAACAGTAAGGGTAGCATTGGCCTAGCTTAGAATTTTATGCACAGTATACAAGCATAAACATGCATAACAGGCTATGTAGTTGCCCTAAATTTAAATAGACAAGGCCTTTTCTCCTTTAATTTTTTTTTCCAATTATCAGTTAAACAGACTATCAGTAAGTCACAAGGATCCTAGGCCTGTTCTGTGCCAAGGAAATGGGTTTGCTGTTCCATAATTCAGATTTAACCAGTGTTTTTTGGCCCTGTCACACATTAGAAACTCTTCGAAAACTCAAAAACTACTTCCCAGAGCCCTCTGATGGGGTCTAGGCCTTGGAGCTCCCAATATGGAGGTAGGTTAGGACCCTCTGGGCTATAGTAATTCTTCAGCTCAGGGAACAAAGCAAGTCTGAGACTAGCTGAGGTGGATGATCAACAGCTTGTGTAGCAAAGGTGAGAATCAATCTGCCAGGAGAAATTGAAAGGAAAAGATCTAAATATCATTTTGTTGTTTTCTTAACCAAAGTGTCATCAGTGGGTAGAGGACAAAGGATTTAAGACCAACATTGAGAAATGACAGTTGCCATCAAGCATGTAGCCTAGTGACTGATGAAAATGGGTGCTTGATGTTTATTTTTAAAAACTCAACAGATGGGGCTGGGGCTGTAGCTCAGTGGCAGAGCACTTGTCTCGCATGTTTAAGGCACTGGGTTCAATCCTCAGCACCACATAAAAATAAATAAAATAAAGGCATTCGGTTCATCTACAACTACAAAAAATTAAAAAAAAAAAACTCAACAGAGAAATGACTATACTGCCCTAATGTGGTTCCACGAGCCACATGTGGCTATTCAAATTTTAAAAATTAAATGAAATTTAAAATGCAGTTCCTCAGTTGCACTAGCCACATTTAAACTGTTCAGGTGGCAACCATAAGGGACAGCACAAATAGAGAACATTTCCATCATCAGAGAGTTCTAGTGGCAGATGGTGGTCTGCAGAAACCCTTCCCAGAGGCAACCCCTTTACACGATGCTTTATGGTTTATTCATGTGATCAAAGTAAATCTATGTTATTAATGAAGTGAACATCTGAAAATACTATCAACAGATAATCACTTGTAAGCATGCATTATTAAGTCATTTGGAAAGGATTTTGAGATGAAGGACAAGGGAAGTAAAAATATACACTGATGTGCAGTGCCCTGGAGCAGCTTCATGGAATTATTTGATCTTGAGTTGTAAGTATAAACCATGCTTACTCATACTTTATGAATTTCAAACAAGGGCAGGAGCAGCTGCTGCAAGAAAGCCATTCTCAGTCATGAATGATGTCTTAACACAGCAGCTGACTTTTGGTAAAATATACATGGATAATTTTAAAAATTCTGACTAAAATCACAAGTCACTTTCAAGAGTCACTGGTTTTGTACTCTTTGGGCAAAATAGGTAACAAAATGAACATAGTTGATTGCTTCCTACTTTAGGTTTTAAAAGAGTACCATAAAACAAGCTAGGTAACAGTCTTGGAATCCATGTAATCCAACTCTCTAATTTTATAGACAAGGAAACCAAAGCACAGTTAAAAGAATCAGCTGGTAACAGAATAAACATGACTTCCTTACATTAATGCTCCTAAAGAATCATTCAAATGTAAGGTTTTCCTCAAATTTTAAAAAACTTTGTTTTTAGTGGTAAATACACAATATAGCATTATGTGGCTTTTATATTAAACTGAAAAAAGAAGACACCCTTGGGCTGAGGCCAGGGCTCAGTGGCAGAGTACTTGCCTAGCATGTGTGAGGCCCTGGGTTCGATCCTCAGCACCACATATAAATAAATAGAATAAAGGTATTGTGAAAACATTTTTTTTTTTAAACAGAAGATACCTCTTCACTACTGAATGTAGAGTGAAAGAATGACACATTCTAAACAACATGAGGACTACCTCTTTTTAATTATTTGGAAGCACATGACTGCATCTATATTTGGAACCCTAGGCCCCCATCCCAGAAAACCTGAACCAGTAGAGCTCAGAAGAGTCCAGGACTCCACATTTAACCAGCATTTCAGTTAATTCTGGAGTAGAAGGTCTATGACCAGGCCATTCCATTTTGCCCAGGACAGTTCCAATTTATACCTGTTTACAGTTTAAAGTATAATAATAGTGCTCTTTTTCACTCTCAAAAATGTCCTGGGCTGGACAATATATAGTCTTCTCTCCTCTATCCATGGACCATAATTTGAAAAACACCACTATATAATTTACTGTTACACAGTTCTTATGTTTTGTTCATAGGATATTCCCCAAAAGGTGAATTCAACATTCCCAGCTATAGAGAATTCAAATAAACCTGTTTTCTTTGATCATAAGAATTTAATTATCAGGGCTGTGGCTGTGGCTCAGTGATAGCACACTTACCTGGTATGTGTGAGGCACTGGGTTCGATTCTCAGCACCACATATAAATAAATAAATAAAATAAAGGTCTAAAAAAAGAATTTAAGTATCCTTGTGCATTCTCAGAAACTTACAAAGATGCCTGCTGCAACTAATGTACTGAATTTCAGAAACAGAAAAAGAAAACAAAGTTTATAGGTGGAAGTAATAATAATGTAGACCAGAGGTCATTAAACACCACACTGACACATTATGAATCACAACTACCATTTTATTGTTCTGATTATTGGGGTACAGAATTGTCCATGTGCTCCAGGACTAGTTTGGCTATGATGGACACTACAGATTGTTCCACAATTTACAGGGAACATTATCTGAGCCATACACTTTTCTGGTTGTTTTTCCAACAATCACAACCAAAACACTTTTTTTCACGGAACATGGAATGACAAATGACCCAATCCAAAGTCATTCTTCACTCATGACAGTGTGTACCAGCCAGGCCACAGAACAGCACAGAACTTGGGGGGCTGGGTTTTAGTCTACAAACCACAAGGTTGCCTGGAAACACAGGATATTGTGCGTACATTTATCACTGTAACTAAGCTGACAGAGGCACAAAGTGAACAGGTCAGATTTGAACTTACTGGTACAAATATTGTAATGAACATTTATTTCATGTATTTTAATATTATTTTCTTATCAAATCAGCAATAATTCCCATTTTGGACACCAATTTTAGAAGGGGTTATGATGAAAAACTGTCCAAGCAAGAAACTTTTCACTTAATTTGTAGCATTAGACATGTGCATAAAGGTATATTTTATTCCATGATGGCTTTCTTATTCAGTTTGAGCATTTACTAGGCATTTACAAGTTGTGTTCTAAACCTGGAAAATATTTAAATTTCAAGCATTTACATACTTTTCTGAGTGTGTGAACTTAAGAGCAGCAGATGGTGTGTACATAAATCTTAAACAATTATGACCTCAAATGATTTTAACCCAAGGAACTCTACAGAGATTAGGGTTAGCCAGGATGCTAAAGCAGTATTTCCATTCTTCTAAAAATGTATCATGTTGTCCAGAACTGATTCAAGCACAACTCATTTCTAATTAAAGCACAGCATTCAGTTCTAGTGCAGAACAAGAAAAAAGAAGCAGGATTGCAACAATGAATGGACCAGAAATGAAAGAAGCAGTAGAACTCAATTCTTCCAATACTGAATAAAGTCCACTGCAATTTTTTTATTGTGGTGCTGGGGACTGAACCCAGGACCTTAAGTATGCTAGCGAGGCAAGTGCTCTACCACTGAGTTACATCCCCAGCTCAGTCCACTGCAATTTTTAAATAACTCAGGCTTTATATTTTATAGGAAAACCTTGCCTTGGCTATCCACTCAAGAGTCAAGGTACATTTTGTTTAATCTAAAAAAAAATTGTAGGTATATGCACAATTTGTCAAAAGTACATACGAGCTCTAACAGAAATTTTTTCAAAGTGAAACACAAGATACCAAAGGAATTCATGTGGTATCTTCCCCAAGAAGAGTTGCATAGGTATCCAAGGAAAAAAAGAACAGATACAGGACTTTGTAATGTTCCTTCTATTTTATTTTTCATGCTAGTTACAACAGCTGGGAAAATCCTGCCTCCTGAGAGGACTCAGCAAGTGAGGCCCAAAATAGTCAGCCTGGTCCCTCTTCAATGGCAGGTGGTCTCAAGTCTTCAAATCCCTACAGTTATAGGCTTTAGTTGTAAACATTTTAAAACATTCTAATTAAATGGGTAGGATATTAACCTTAGCATTTTTAACGATTAAGGCATAAGCCAGATCTTACTGAAAATACATTGTGCCTTTTAAAATACAGATTGAGCTTTCTGGCAGTTATAAAAGTTCAATGACAAAAAGAAAGTAGAGTTTATGAGAAATGGATGGCATGGTTTAACAATGCAACATTTTATATTCATCCTGATTTCACAAACTCCTTTTGTGACATATCATTTAGCATGGCAAAATGGTGAACACCTTTGACTTGTAATCACATTTAATTTTTGTAACTTCCTTGTTAATGTCTAACATATCTGAACAGCCAAAACAGTTAGCAATGAATGTTAAGATTCTTCATTCCCTCTCTCAAAAAGATCAAGTTTTTTTTTTTTTTTTGTAACTGGAAATGGAACCTAGGGATGCTCTACCACTGAGTCATATCTCTAGCCCCTTTCTATTTTTTATTTTGAGGCAGGGTATTGCTAAGCTACCATGGCTGGCCTCAGACATATGATCTTCCTGCCTCACCCTCTCAAATTGCTGTGGTTAAAGGCATGTGCCACCATGCCCAACAAGGTAAGAATATTTTAAACATTAAGTAGCTTTGTTATTAATATGCATTCCATTCTAAGTTTGCCATTTTCAATCATTTTGGAAGGCAAAGATGAACTGGAGAGCAGTTAAATCAGTCCTAAATGCCAGAGTTTGATGTTTACCTTGCTAAATGCAGGGCAAAACTTGCTTAGTACATATGTGATCTTTGACATTTATGCTGTTTTGGCCCACTTAAGAAAGTTATCCAGAGAATTTAAATTAATAAGCCATTTCTAGGTCAATAGAAGTTAGAATTACTTGATAGAATATTCGTTTAAGTGTAAGTTTATTATCCCAAAAGGAGTCTGTTCCAATGGAAAAGACAATCCTCACTGAAAAGTCAAGAAGCAAACTATCAAACAAAAGCAAATTACGGGGGTTTTCTAAGAAAATCTCAGAGATGTGTCATAAAAAGACTTCTGTTTACCTCCTAGGCAAAGGAAATGTAGATGTCTTTTATTATAAAAAACAAAAAAGGTTAAGTTCAGGTTTCTTGAGTAATCTCATGTTCCTAAAATAACAATACTTTTGAAACTTTAGCTCTGATATTTAGACAACTATCAAATTTGAACACACTGTGGTACAGTTCCAGAGATTCCCATGAGATTCTTATCAAAGGCTATTCCCTGAGACATGAAAGTGGAGTGAAAATGCAACTCTCTGAGTACAAAAAATATACATATAAAATCAATTTAATCTCTTTACTCCTCCCTTTAAAGAAATTACTAAAATAAAAAATTTTATCATTATAGTCTAAACTCTTATGCTTTACCTTTTTAAACATTTTTCTTTTAAATGAATATTTATTGCAAAGTCATACATGGGCTGATACTTTCACATACATTCTCTTGCTTGATACTTTTCTTAAAACTCTCAGAAATAAAAATACAGTTCTTACAATTTATACTGACTTAACAGAATCGTAAGATAATTAGTTAGAATGCAACTGTAATTCTTCACTTTTGGAAACTATAATAGGAAAAAGTTAAGCAAACTTAATGGAATCCTAGAATGATTAGAACTTTTTTAAAGAATGCCAAGTTTAATTCTGTTCTTTTTGGAAAATATAAATGTGAAAAACAAATCCAAAACACCTCTCTATGTAAATTAAAGCTCAAGCCATGGTATTCAAAATTAAAATGATTTACATAACCTACTATACTTTGTGTTTTTTTAGTAATTAACCTTCCTGAGGCTGATTTTGTTCTCCTTAGTGTTTGCTTAACTAAAGTGCTTAATAAAATTTCTACAGAATATATTACCCTCTCCATAGATGAATATTATTTTGAACTACAATCTGACAAAAATCTAACTACATTTAATTATACTTGATTAATCCAAATGTCACTGAGAGATTTATAGAACCGAGAAACATTTTTCAGGTTAAGTTCATACTCTTTCAGAACTGGAAGCTTCCTGGATCTAGTATTACCACAGATTTACTATTTCAATTATCTAACTTTTTAAAAAATCAAACAAAAAATATTTCCAATAGTCCAAATGGGACCTTAGGACTCCAGACATCAAACTACTTCTTATCATTTTCAAGAGACATGCAGACTAACCTCTATCAAAACTGACTTCATCACTTTGAATTGGGAAGCACTGTGCTTATGGAGTCGCCCAACAAAAAGGGAAAGGATATTGAGACCTGAGGTCAATTCTCCACTTTGGATAGAATTTTCTGTGCAAAGAATGCACATGTATAGGATGTTTTCTGGACTTAGCTAAAACACTGAAAGGATGTTAAATGTGAGATGGGGGGGTAATGTAGGCATATAACCTTATCAGACATTTGTTTGGTGGCTTTCAGAAATGATATCCCATGATGTTCTTTTTCATATGCAAATAAGACAATTTAAAGGGTGACCAATTGGCTCTGCCTATGGGAATAAATAAGTGTATCGCATTTCCTCCAGTCAGCTAAACCTTCTATTTATTGCTGGGTCACTCAGCTCTATCCTAAAGGCGACAAGACAGACAAGTGTGAGGAACTAAAAATCCCCACCATGGCTCTGATGGAAAGTGGTGGGCCACATGTGGCACACACCAAGTGACAACCTGCGTCCTAGCCACCATAAGCCTATCGCAGAGATCAGAAGGAATACATGTCCCTGTTTTAGAGACAGAGAGGTGAAAATATGTTTCTCAAGAGCTCTGTGTCTTTTTATTGTCTTATTTTGGGAGGCAAACAGCTGATGCTATCCTGGGGACTTCAGAGAGAAGCCTCTAGGATACTTCTTTAATCTTCTTCTAAAATGAGTTTGGAAGTATTAAATAGGGTGTTTCTCAACAAGCAGCTATTTTAGGTGCAGCATCAGCATCCAGATGTTTTAAACAATTACTGAATGATTTCAGAAGTTCTAAAAACATATCTGGAACCTGTGGCAATTGTGTTTTTGGACACAGCAGCTCACATCATTTGGTGAAATTTGATTATAAAAACTGGCTCTTTTCACCTGACCGCTGCTCCTTGTAAGTCAGAAAAACCATGACTGAAACAGGTGAGTTCCCTTTGTCTACCTAAAGCTGCAATGCAGGGCCTCAACAGGGTCCTCCACAGAGCTGAGCACAGAACCTGGCATAGAAGATGAACTCTCCAAATGGAGATCAACAGATACAAAGCAGAGAAACCAGGAATCACCAACACTTCCTCCTCTGAGGAACACACCTGCCTATGATGAAAGCATCCCTGAGAAGGTTTGGTTCTGTCCCTCATTTCATTTTTTTCCATAGCATTCATCTCCCAATTGAACCATAAAATCACCTTATTTTGTTTTTGACTGTCTTCTCGGCAAGAACATGTGTCACAGAGTGAGGATTTCTGTTTGATCACTGCCATGTACCCATACTTAACATGGTTTCTAAACTGTTTAAATGAACATTGAACACGTTTTCTTCCCATGACTCCTCTGTCTGCCACCTTCACTTTATTAGTCTCCTTTACCGGAGGGTACCATGTTCAATTCTCCATTTTACAATAGCGCAGACTAGGGCATAGGCTCTGGTCTTAAGAATGCCTTGCCTTGAGTGGAGTTTGGTGTATAGAGCAAGGCTGTCATTTGTACTCCCTGATCATTACGTGAGAGCTCTGAAGGTGACAAAAGTTTGCTGCTGATTTTCTAGTGAAGTGTGCTGGTCACTAAGGCAAGGAGGCTTCAATTCTCTGAGAGGCCAAATAAAACTTTACCCCATGATCTACCTACAGATGTACTTCGGAAACATTAAACTATGTGCTTCCAGGATAGGCCTCAGATCTACAAACAATTTGAATGTATAATCATAAATAACAAAAAAATCCTGATGAAAACATAACACCCTTTTATTTCTTAATGAACCACATTTTAAAAAATAGGTTGATTTAAAAGACAGGTAAAAAAAAAAAAAACAAACCTGTGTCAAAACAAAGCTCTTAGAAGGGTTAACTGTCGCAGTGAGACGGGTTGACTACAACCTATTAATAAAAACAGATTATACTTCTCTTGACAACTCTGATTACATGCTAGTTTGAAACATACTGTCATATTTAATTAACTAATTAATCATTGTCAATGGCCAATAACTTAAGTTCATTAAAATGTCACATGTCCCCTCTTTTCAAGCCAGAAGGTACTGATATCTCTAATTGTTGGAACAGGAACCTGAGTTAAAAGTTATCTTTCCACACAGAACAGTAAACAAAAATCTTGTATTGATTAAAGTTGTTAAGTGCTTTCCTGCTGGCAATATTGGTTCCTTCTGTTTACTAACATATAGATTATGAAGGACATTATCTTCAAAGTCAATGTTTAAGCACCTGGACCACTGGGAAGGATGGCAGAATAAATGCATGTTTATATAAGTGCTCCTGCTCTCCAACACACACATCCAAAAATTGAGCAAAAAGCTGTCTATAATGAAACTAATAAAGGCCACAACCCCATACCACAGACTCCAGGAGAGTGTCTAACAGATAAAGCAAAAGGCACATAAATACACTCTAAAGAATGATTTCAGAAACCATGATAAATATAGACAAAATGGTTCATCCAAGAAATGAAATAAGAAATAAAAGAGGACAATATTATGACCCAGGGGAAGAAACATAAAAAAATTAAACTTAACAGAAATGAAAGCCACATTATAAATAACAAGGCCCAAAATCAACAGGAGAGAAAGCTGAGTCAGTGAAATGGAGAATAAGGCTTCTGAAAAACAAAATCACAGTATGAAGGAAGACCAGGAGGTAAAACCCACTGAAAGAAAGATAAATATGAAGGACAGATAATAGAGAGCCAAGAGAACAACAAATTCTCAAAGAGAATAGAATAAACCAATACAAAATGCAGTAAGGCCTGAAATGTCAATATATAATGCTCACTATGTACCAGAAAAAGCCAAAGGACAACTATCAATTCTGAGGTATATTCAAATGAACCTACTGAATTTTAAGGACTAAACAAAGAATCACATGTTTCCAGGGCAAGCAAGCAGACCATCTACAAAAGGGGAAGAAAAATCTATCTGGACTTAGGACCCCTTAGCACCATCAGCTAGAGACAACAAGTAATGATCCCAAAAATATCAGGGGGAAAGGATGTGATCCACAAAATCTGATAGCTATCCAAGTTATTGTTTATAAGTTATAGCAACATATTTATTTATAAATATGTGAGAGAATCTAACTGAAGCTATAATCCAGGCATACCAAAAGATAAAAGCATCACCTCTCAAATGTGGAGTCTTTTTATAAAAGGGCTGGCAGTGAGCACTGATTTCATTCAAAAATAGAATTAAGTTCAAATAACTCTAGTAATTACCTATAGCTATACACTTTAGGTTGCCTGTCTTTCTAGGTAAAAGCTGCCAAGTCCATTTGATTATCTCCTTTAACTAACTATGCCAAAATGAAAACACACACAAAAGAAAGCCTCTCCTGAGTGGAATTACCTTGTATTATAGAAAATTTTTGGTTTAGAGCTTACCCTTGAGGATTAATATAGCCAAGAAATTCCTCAAAAGGGATAATGCTAATTACCTGATATATTGTTCAGAGCACTAATCCAGGAACAAGAAGACCCAACTACTCACTTAGGTTCTTCTATTCAGTTACCAAGCCACATTGGCAAACCATTTAACTACTTTGGGATTCATATGAAAAGTAGAGATAGTCCTGTGTGGTCCACCGCATGGCATCGTAAAGATCAAACCAGCTGCTGAATGTGAAAGTTCTTTGGAATCAAGGCTGTAAAACCATGTCACTGTTTGGAGGAAAAGAACCCCTGTATTATAGAGCCAAAATTATATATTCAGAGACAAAGAAAGAATCAGATGACTCCTGTGGATCCACCTTGACTTACTGCCATTCCTCTATATTTTAAATCACTTCTTAGCACTATAGAAAGGAAATTCAGTACTTCCACATCTCCTGACCTGAATTGTTATTAATGTGGAGACAAGGATAATTTAAGAACTTAGAAAAATATTGCCCCACCAACAAAGGTAAATGGCTGTCAGTTTCATTGTTTGATTCAATGAATGTTTATTAAGTACCTACTATGGCCAGGAACCATTTCAAATAGTAGACATGGTCCCCAAATACTTAAAATAGAATAAATGAGAAGGCATTTCAGAGGAATGGGGAAGAATTCAGCGGACAAGGGGTCAATGTCTATTTATATTACAACCTATATGTAGAAATCTGACCATCTGCTTATACTAACAAAAGAATAAATAAATACTTTGGTAAAGGGGCTGACAAACTGTAAGTATATAAGATATTCCTTAAACAGTTCTTGTGGTTGTTAAGGTATAAATTTAAGTTATTAATGAAGAAAATGAAGATAGGAGAAGCCCAGATTTTACAGGCATCAGATGGATATGAGTAATCCCCAAAGTATATTTAGTAAAAAACTAATCATTAAATCCTTAAAAACGTCAAAATAAATTTTTTACTTTTGAAAAAGATGTGTAAGGAATGTAATACATTTTTTTCTATATGATATTTTCCATATCCATCTCTTACGTGGTGGTTGTCATAAAGACATAGCAATCAATGGACATTCCTCAAGCAATAAAAACTCTGCCTGAACAAGGGAGTAACACAACCCAAATCTGTTGCCTCCTTTCTACTACAGGATAACATACTTGAAAGTGTAAAGAAAAATGGTTGGAAATTAAGGCCTAGTAAGGTACTGATATACTATTTAATATCTATAAGGAAGCTATGTTTTTTTTAAAAGGACAAGAAAATAATTGCATGGAATAGCCCCACTCCCAAGACACTGACCCAGATCTCTGGCCAAGATCACTGGTATTTCTTTTACCTGAATGATTATATATGACTTCTCTAATGAGATCCTTCTAAGCATGGAAGAGAAGAGATATTTCTAAAGATGAAGGAAGTGCCATGAACTCAGACAGTATAATAAAATAAATGCAAATCAGATTCACTGGAACTAAGAGAGGCAGAGATGCAATCGAGCCACATGGAGCTGGCAAGAGCACAACTCTACTCAGGGAAAAATCCCCCACTGTGGTGGCAGTGGGGACAACTCCTCATATGACTAGAGGAGGAGGAATACTTCAAAGTTAAAACTTCTAAATCAGTGGATTTGATACTTAAAAATTGGACCGAAACATTTATATAGACAATAAAAGAGGGCAGAAATCAGACATGATATCTATATAAAAAATTATAGTGAAGAGAAACATCTTATAGATTTGTGTAAAATGCTGGTTTTAATCTGAACTCTCAGATAACTTCTATTACTAAGGTTAAATATAACCCCATTCCTCTTTCCTTATCCCAAGTCCTCTACTAATTTCCACTTCCAACTTCTAGCAAAAAATAATGATTTTGAAAATCAGATTGAGCTTATAATTCTAAAATTAAAATTAGTGACAATGAAAATTATGAAGATCTATAGGATTTAAAAAAATAAACTAGAAAGAACTTTTCCCTATGGATAAGTGCATTATACACAAACTTCCAATTCCTTAGAAGACAACAAAGGAATATGATAAAGGTACAGTATCAAATTGGCAATACTTTCACAGAGCACAAAATTCCACTTTCCACTCATTAGAAGCTTGATATTGGCCAGAAGGCGGTTTTTTCACTTAAGATCTTTGAAACCAAGCTGTTAAGTGAAAAATTCCAACACAACTTTTGGAATGCTTTAATCAATGGAATGGTAGTATACAAATGAATTTTAAAATAAAATCAATGTATCAAATAACATGAAAAATATCATACTGCATAATGAGAATACAATTAGATAGAAAAGGCAAAGTCTAAATCAGAGAAAGGAGGGATGCATATGAGAGAGGAAAGGACCTGGGACTGAATTATCAAAATGTGCTCTCAGCTGATATCTTCCACTTCCAGATTCCCTAGGCCAAAGCAGGAGGTTTGGGACAAAATGGGGTCACAAAGAACAATAATAGGATCTGCTATGTCTGGAATGGGGAAGGAGCTCAAAATTCTGCAAAGACTTTAGACATCAGACTCTACCATATTGAGATAGAGAATATGAGGACATGAGGGCTCTAATGAGGCTCTGTGCTCTTTTGTGGCAGGTACCAAGCACATCACAGCAAGATACCATGAAAAATTACTCAAGTTACTACTTTAGTGGAAGATCTGGTTGAAGTAACTATAGGAAGGGCTCCATGAAAAGGTCCAGCTGGTGTGGAGAAAACACACATTCAAGCACTGGGAATAACTATGGTGCCACACTCAGAGTTGGTGAAAGAAATTTCTCTGGTTGACTTGGAGAAGACAATCTTTCTTCACAGAGAGGATCAGAGCATTCAGTCTCTAGAAAGTTCTATTAGTCTTGATCTTGTCCCTATAAAGAAAATATTGGGAATATCATAGTGAGTTTATGAGTACAATCTCTATTTTAAGCAACACTTAGAGCATTTAGTTATGGTGGTAATTCAAAAACCCTTGGTTTAATTCATAATTATTTTCTATGGTTACCAGTACTCACTGGACGAAGTATACTTCAAGGTACCTAAATGGCCTGAGTTGGAGATAGGAAAATGTTAGCTAATAATTGACAAAGGAATTTTCTTTTTAAAAACATAATTTTACAAACAGTAATAAGATAATTGATTTGGGGACAATTTGACTTCTCCTTTCCAATTTCAAAGCCCTTTACTTTTTCCCTTGCCTAATGTCTGGTTAGACCTCCAGTAATATGCTAAATAAAAGTGGTGAATGTGGGTATCCTTATTGAGCCAAAATTATTAATTAGCGTAAAAACCATCAAGCAAATAGATAAATAAACATTTGTAAAGTGCCAAAATAATACCACATAAAGGATTTTCTGGTGAAAAATGGAAAATATGATAATATTTTTGGACAGTCAACACTTAAATTATGGTCTATCTTAACATCACTAATGGTGGATCAAAGAAATATCATGGGTCTCATCATGTAATTCTGCAATACGTTGATGGAGTATTCTAGAAAACAAAACTCCACTGAGACTTTCAATCAACTTACAGTTTACAGGAAATATGGAATGGGGAATAAACTAAGAGATATTTCAAAGAAGAAATCAACCAAATCTAGGTGGGACATTTTTCAAGACGAATACAAGGACTTTCAACAACAAAAAATTTTTCTAGATTAAAAGCAATTTGAGACTACCCTGATGTATTATGGTGCTGAAATGGATCCCAAGTTGAACAAATCAGGAGAATTTAATGAGGTGAAAGTTTGTTGACATGGAAAACTAGAGATTTTTAAATAAAACAAAAGCAGGTTATAAATGGTATGAATTCTATGATCTCATTTTGGGAAAATATGTTCATAGTACAATTAGCAAATTATCTTGAAGATCATACACAAGACAGCAACAAGTGGCAATCTGTGGGTTGTGAAAATACAGTGATTTCTGCTTTTTTCACTCATTTATGTTTTCTAATTTTTTACAATGAACATATGCTGCTTTTCTATTAACAAAAGGTTATTTTAAATTAAATAAACAGAATCCTTACTCTTGTTAGTAAAGTTGGAGCTTAAGAGTAGTCAGAATAAAAACAAATCTGAAAATCAAAGATTGGACTATTTTCCTTAATTAATATAAAATAATGACAGTTATTATTCTATGACTGACAACTTTCTTTTTCAATTTTTTATCATGATAAACTATATAGAACATAGGTCTTAACCTTCTTAACACTTTTTAAGTGTACAATTCACTGGAAATAAGTTGTGCAACCATCATCAATATCTTTATCTAGAATTTTCTTATTATCCCAAACTGAAACTCTACTTATTAAACAACAGCTCCTCATTCCCTCTTCCTCCCACTCTCTGGCAAATACCATTCTTTTTTTCTGACTGTATGAACTGGATTACTCTAAGTACCTGATATAAGTTAAACCATACAATATTTGTCCTTAAGGGTCTGGCTTATCTCCCTTAGCATGACTTTAAGGTTCATTCATATTGTAGCACATGAGGGAATTTCCTTCCTTTTTAAGGCCAAATAAATTTCCATTGTGTGAATATACCACATTTTGCTTATCTTGGTAGATAATTTTAAATTCTTCATTTTTTCAGTTTCAACCTATAGAATTTCTCTAAACATTCTTCTGTCTCTAGGGATGAAAACAAAATGCAAATTTATTACTTTTTAAATAAAATTCATGGCAGGATAAACCCCTGTTCACTGTTGCTAATAACTCTACCTACAGTGAAAGGTTTCCTAGAACAGGAGGACCACTATTGAAACAGTGACTCTGGCTACCTAATTCTTGTTATCCTTAGTTCTGAGGTAAATAGTCTGCTCCCATCATTCTTTCTCTTCAGGTCACTTTGTTTTTCCAATGATAAAACCTCAAAGAATATCTGGTGGAAAGTATCTCTCATCTTCTAGCTGGTACATTCTAGCAACAAATCAGATCCTTTACAATGGAAATCAAAGTGCTACATTACTGTTTAGCCTTGTATTTTGATGCATCTCTGGGTTCACTGCTGGGATTGCTCCAGTCATCAGCTTCAGGCATGGTCTTGTAATGGCGCCATGCAGACTTATTAAAAACTGGCAGCCTCTCAAATGATTCACTTGAAAGAGCCTGTTGGAAAAAAAAAATATATATATATGTATATATATCAAAGGTCTAGGGTGCCATTGTTCTCACATGAAATACTAACCCAAATTTTACTATTTAAAACATCAGATACCATAATGTGTACTTCTGGAATTATATTAAAATTATATTTTAGCAGTTTTACTTAGACTAGCAAGGAAAAATTAAAGCTATTTTAAAGGAATGAAAACGTTTAGTTATTTAAAGTCAGAATAAAGTACACATGACTAGAACAAAATACATTTCAATTCAGCTAATACTGCTTTCAGATATTCAATTGTTTTGAATGTATGTTCTTAAACCAGGACTATGGTTTACCAGGCAGCTGTTCTCCCAAAGGGCCTAAGGAGAAATTAAGTCTCATTCTTACCAGATTTATAAACATATGCCATCAAGTAATACCAAATATCACATCATTTAGAGGCTGGGGATGTAGTTCAAAGTGTGCTTAGCATTCAGGAGACTCTGAATTCAATTCCCAACACCAAAACAAACCAACCAATCACATCATTTAGAAACACTGGCATCTAAGAAAAATACTTCAAATAAATGGCTAAATTATGATGTCACATATAGTAGTCACATTTAAAAAAGAATGAGCCACTGTCTTTCCTATTTCCTCCCCATCTTGTTGTATGTTAGCATCCATATATCAGTCAAATTATACTCCACTGTCATGTATATCTAAAAAGAAAAAATAAAAATAAAAATTTTTAAAAAGAAAGGTATTAAGAGAGGAAAAAAGAATGAGCCATTTCTATATGAGCTGACAAGGAAAGATTTATAAGATATATTGGAAAATAAAAACAAGGTGCTAAAATTTCATTTATGTGGAAAAAGATTAGTCATTTATAAATGCAGACTCAACTCTAAGAGGATCCATAAGAAACTGGCACTTCTTCTGGGAAAAGAGAAATGGCGGCTTAGGGCCCTTAGTTCTTCCTTTTGTAGCTTTAATTTTTTATAATGTGCCTATATTACCTATTTGAAAATACAAAAAAAATTTCAGAGTTTAGGTAAGAGATTCTACCACCACCAACAAATGAGAAGAGCTGTATGTATTATTACTGAGTTTTTATACTTAGGGAAAACTAGCAAATTTTTAAAGCAAAATATAAAACAACTTCAAATTATTGAAAAATCTGTCTTTAAAATTAGGTCTTCAATGGACATGCAATTTTGAAAAATCAAAATTTGGAACTATGGTTTTGAAAACAATAATTTAATACTTAAACATCTCTATGTTTAATGTTTTGCTGTATCTGAGCATAAAATCAAGGGTAAGGTACAACATGGTTTTCATGTGAAATGGAGGTAAATCTGAAGTGATTGTATAGTACTAGTCATCACTGGTGAATTATTAGAACTTATAGCATTAAAAAGTGAAGATCATACTAACAAAATATGCAGTACCTTCAAATAAATGACAGCATCAGTACCCACTCCTTCCATGGAATACAGTTTTAGATCTCCCTGAAAATATCTAGCATACAGGCGAGAAATTGGCAAACCATAACCAAATCCAGCCTATCAAGAAAAGAAAATTAATACAGTGAGACAGGCACAATGCTTCATACGAGGACCACTGAGAGAAGATAAAAATAAATTACTGATTCAGATTTAAATCAAATGAATTATTGATTCAAACTTTATATATATATATATATATATACACACACACACACACACACATGCATATGCTTATCTATGGTAAATCTCTTTATTTTCACCCTGCAAAAACATTTCTCATATATTTGGATTTTGATTAAATTTTTGGCATTGTAAAGTAACTTTTTAAGCACGTTTTAAATTTGATATGGAATTTGGTCTAATGACAAAACTAAACCACATTCATTTCAAAGTTCCATTATCAGATTTTCTTGCTCTGTGAAGTGAAAATTAATAGCACCAGAGTTCACATCTACCAGTAACAAGGCTAAAACTTTGAAAAGAAAATAATTTCCTGGGAGGCTACTTCCCAAGGTTCTGTAAATGCTACAATATATTATAGTTCATATATTTTTAGAAATAAGAAAATATTTTAGTACCTTCCTGTGTCTCTATGTCATGGAACCCTGATGGTCAGAAAGAGGTAATTTTTAAAGATCTCAGATATTGGTGAGAACAATAAGAATAACTGAGACTAAATTCAGTAACTTTTGTGTTGGTCATGGGTGTCTGGGGGCAGGGAGATGCTATCCCATCCAGTTTCATCACCTCTGATTAAATCTATGAACATGGTTAAGGAAAGAGGGGCAGTAGGATAATATAACCATAGTCACAGTCCCATGGGCTTCAGATTCAGACCAAAGTTGAAATCTACTTTTTTGTGCAACTGAGCAATTTACTCAATCTCTTTAAGACTATTTTCTCATTCAAACGTGTAATAAAAAGCTTACCTGCTGTAAGGATTAAATTATAAAATAAGTGTAAAGTCTTGGCACAGTGCGAAACATAGCAAATCTAAAGAAATGGAAGCAGGTATCATGGCTACTAAGAGTAACAATTTAACCAAGTTACATAGATTTCTTCCATTTTCTAACATTTCAATATCTTCCTCATTGTTGGGCCTAATTAAAAGGGTGGGGTAACAGAATACACCTATTATTTAAGTCACACTGGCTGAATATGGTCACTGAACGTGACCTATCCTTAATGACAGAAGAAACCACAGCAAAGAAATCAGTATACTTCAGGAAGAGACACAAGGGAATCTACTTCTGTGTTCAAGCAAGGCTAGTGCTTGCCCTCAGGTGTAATGCGGAACAGCTGAGAACACTATGGGGAAGTAGGAAAGCCCAGAGTCCTGAGGACCACAGAGGAGGGGCCTCTACCTTGGATTTGCAAAAGTTCAGGGAAGGTTTCCCAGAGTGTTAAAGCATCAATAGGAATTAGTTGGGTGCACACTCCTCCAACCTAGAATCCATGTGTCAAGGGCACAGAGGTGTAAAATTCTAAGTTTTTCAGTGAGGAAATTATGTTTTCTAGTAGTCCGTATTTTACATGAACCCATATTAAAGCTGAGAACTTTACTAACTGGGAGAGACACTTGAGTAAATATTTCCTCAAAAAGAGAAGCCAAGGCTGGGGTTGTAGCTCAGTGGCAGAGTGCTTGCCTAGCATGTGTGAGGCACTGGATTTAATCCTCAGCAGCCCCATATAAAAATAAATAAGTAAAATAAAAAGTATCCTGTCCATCTACAACAAAAATAAAAAGGAGAAGCCATATGGTATGCTAGAAAGAACACAGATGTAGCCAGAGCCAGCTCTACCATTAACTAGCTCAGTGACCTTGGGCAAAGTACTAACTTTATTTCCTTATCTATACAATGGGAGAGTAGGTACGTATTTTAAGTCTTCTTGCTTCAATTCCTCAGTTTCATGAAGAAAACTATGACATAACTGCTGCCCTCAGGATGTTATTTAAGACCTGGAATAGACAATCCATATTCCTTTTAAATGATTGGGGAAGGTTCTAGACTTGTGTGTAGTGCCTTTTTTTCTTTTGATATTTATTTAAGTAGGTACCAGAACCTGGTCAAGACAATGCTTTTGATCTTTCACAAATTTTCACAAACTGATCTTTCAGAAATTTTTCCTGAATCCTACATAAATGACTTCCTCTCTGCTTTCCTCATGCTGAGTTAACAAATTCTGTCTCAAATAAACAATACAAAGTGTTTGATTTTATTCATACAAATAAAATATAATCTTACGTGCTTATCAGTCAGGTAGGACTTTAAAATGAAACTTAATTTATACCCTGAACCATTTTGCAGACTGATAGATATGTTGCTGTGTTTAATGACAAAGGGTTCAATTGTTGTTTGTCAATTAGAAACACGCAGCAGGGGAAGAAAGTGTGGCCCTACCAGGATCTAACTGCTACCATGGTAACCAGAGGCTTTTCTCACTGCCTTAATAGGGCTCAAGGTTATTTCCAGAGTGCAATAGAAAGGGCTCTGAAAATGCATACACCACCTATATGTTTTGTGCTTAGGTTATTTAATATGAAAAAATTTAATGTTTTCATAACTGAACATTTTAATTATATAAACAAATTTTATGGTGGAGATTCAAAGGCTCTGGGAGACTTGGACCTCTATGGTTATGTAGCACCAAAGTGCCCAGGACCAAACTACAGTTATACATCCTGCACAGACCCCTCACTCACCCACTGGTAGCTTCCAACCCCTCCTAGGACAGTACAAGGTGGTAAATGACGCTTCACAAGCAGTCTTAACACAGCAAAATGCTTTTTCACTGTATTTGGGATTTGAGGCACTCAGCTCAGAGTGTTTCTTAGACAAATTAGAGAAGCAATCTAAGTCCAAAGGACTCACAAAGAAAGCCAAGGCAAAAAGTTTCTTCCTCCAAGCTGTACAGGAAGCAGTCTAGTTGATGCTAGTTCAACAACCTGGAGAGATGGGCAGTTCGTTCTCTCTTCTCTTCTCCTCCCTCCCTCTCCCTCTCCTCCCTCCCTCCCTCTCCCTCTCCCTCTCCCTCTCTCTCGTTAATGACTTTTTCTTCAGAAGCCATTTTCAATGTTAACTTACCAAAGGGGCAGCTCTTGTAGGCTCCAGGCTAGGTCTAGGAGCAGTTGAATACATGTAGTTAAAAAGACGATCTATTTTTCTAAGCGGGACTCCACCACCTTGGTCACTTATCTATAGTGTAGGAAACATTTTAAAAAAGAGAAGTCAATCTATACTTAGTAGGAGGCAATGAGTTCATTAAAGTATATGCTAAAGTACTCTAAAATTCATAAGGGCTTTGAACTTCCACAGAAATATTATTCCTTTGGGGACAGTATAAAATAAAAGAGGTATAATAGTGCAGTGGGATCCAAAATGCTTGGGATTGAGGTCTTGTTCTGTGAAGCTTAAATGAGGTAACTTAAGCCAAGAATCCAGTGCGGTACAGTCATGTGTCATTTAATGACAGAGATACATTCTGAGAAATGCATTGTTAGGTGATTTCACATATGAACACTATAGAGCATGCTTACACAAACTAAACTGACTAGGCAATATAATCTTATGTAAGCACCATTGTATATGTATGTAGTCATTGACAGAAGCATCATGACATAACTGTATTGACAAGTAAGATACTCAACAAATGTCAGTTTTTCCCCCTTCCCTCTGATGTCTCAATGTCTAGATACTATTGAAATCAACTGATAAATAAAGCAGTTACCTTAATGGACAAGTCTTCTTTACCCAAAGTAACAAGAGTTTTAACAGCTGGGTAGCCTTCTTTTCTATCTTCGTATAGTTCAACTGTTGCTCTCATTGAGTTCTAAAATAATAAAATTCTTTTCAACATACTGATGACTCATAAATTACAATTTTATTTATTTATATACTCATTTGGTGCTAGAGATTGAATCCAGGACCTTGAACATGCTAACAGTATGCACTGTACCACTGAGCTACTCCCCCAATCCCACAAATCATAATTAAAAAAAAAAAAAAACAAGCACCAGATTATTACCTGAAAGTTCTTCTGTGGGGGCAAATATAGTTGGATTTATATGCTATTTTTCCCTCTAAAGAGCTTAGCTAAATATATTCAGATCAAGGAAAAATTTCCTGACACTTTATTTTACATCGAGTTTTAGCCATATCCAACATTCTAAATATTTTTTCTTTCCTTCCTTTTTTTTTTGCTTTAGGGTATTTAAATCATTCAACTCAACCCAGAGAAATGTTTTTTTATCACAACTAATGAGGCTGAACAGGCTGATTTGTGCACTTTAAGTCCTATTTATCAGTCTGCATTTATAGAGCACCTTTCCTCTAAAGAAGGGAGAAAAACTGAAAGGATTCATGCTTTCCACAAAAATTAATCATTTGACTCAAAAAAGTAGAAGAAATACCCGTTAAAAAGAAATTCTGAAAAAGCCACAGCTGTTGAAGAGGAAGTTCACAATTGAATGCCCATCTCCACCTTAAAGTGTTACATCAGTAACATTCTAATTTTTAGAAGCAAATCAGCATAACTGATTTTTCAGGTGTTCACTTTAGTATTTTACACATTGGAAGAAATAAAATTTTAGCTCAAAGATCTTGTGCCTGTAATACTGCCACTGTAAATGCCATTAACTACCAAGTAACAAAAGCAATAGCTTAGGCTATACAGTCTAAAGAGGTGAGGGGTTTTTCTGTTTGTATTATTTTGTTTGGTTTGGTTTTTTGTTCTTTTTTATTCAGCCCAGCCACATCTTTCTTCTCTGCTTCTGGAGGATCTTCTGAATTAATTCAAATATTTAAAAGGGTTACAGGATCTCTCAAGACTGGGACAACTACTAATACACCAACACAGTTAATATTCAAAATCATAGATATGCATAAACATGTTTTTATTTTGTTCTGGCTATCACCAATAAAGCCTTTGCCAGGTTTGCAAACTAAAAAGCATCTCTAATCTCATAACTGAAGGAAAAACAGTATGGATTTTATGTAAAGTCTCTAAAGTACAATTAAGTTTCAAAATCAATATGTACTAATATTCACAAAAACTATACTGTACACAGCAATTTTTCATCTCACAGTGTACAAATTATAAAACCCACAGGATATCAGAAATAGAATTTTTAGAATGGTTATGCAAAACCTTTTTCTTATGCTAATCTAATGAATCCATTATGCCCTGAATCAAAGTAATTTAAAATGAAGACTTCTTTCCATGTTTTTAAATTCCACTTACCTTGAACAACTCAAATAGCATGTGAAACAGATGTGAGGGCACATAAACTACCTGAATAGGCTTGTCTGGTGCTTTGGCTGAAAACAGAGACAAAACCGTCAATGAATAAGGACCAAAACTAGAATGATGTTTGCATTCTATTTTCTGAGTACATAAAACAGAACTCTATAAAAGGATAATTTAGGTTTCCTCCTTTAAAGGCAGTGATGAGCAAAAACATATGCTGCAGAATCAAACAAACCTGGGGTGAAACCCAGTTCCTTCACTTACCAGCTATGTGACCTTGGACAGATCATTCAAGCACTCCAAAATTTAGTTGAGCAAAACTGGAATATTATCATCTATGTCATGATGTTCTGAACATTATGTAAGGTCATCCAAATATCACTTTGTATTTTTTTCAAATTAGGAGGACACCCTTGCTACCAACCCATGGTCAGTTGGAGAAATGGAAAGCCACAGGAGAACAGGGGGTGGTGAAGTAGACTAAATAGCAGCACTAAATTGTGTTAAGTTATGATATACAGGGTATACTGTAGAGTAAAATGTAAGGTTCATGTAACTTCTCTACTAGAACCTAGCAGCTAAATGCCAGGAGACACACAGTTTTTCTCCTTACATCAGGGACCTTCTGAGGAAAATCTGAGGAACACTGAATCCTATGTCAACCACAAAGAACAGCGTGGGGTAGAGAGGTGGTGCTCAGAAATGTAGTCCTTCCTCCTCCTCATGACCTGAAATCACTTAAGAGATTAAAACTGCATGAACTTTCTCAAGAAAAACACAGACATACTCATCCATGTTATAATTTCAACCTAACTACCTCCTCTAATTATGTAAATAACAATAATAGAAATTAGAGCTAATATTTGTTTGGTTCTTGGCAGTTTATGAAGAGCTTTCACACATATCATCCAACTGAATACTCATGACAATGCCTCGTGGCTCAGAAGGTAGGTGGTATTATTTACAGGTGAACAAATAAGCTTTGAGGAGGCTGACTATGGTAAATAGAAGTGATGCTTAGGCTGGGGTTGTGGCTTAGTGGTACAGCGCTTGCCTAGCATGTGTGAGGCACTGGGTTTGATCCTCAGCACCACATAAAAAAAATGAAACAAACAAAATAAAGGTATTGTGTCCATCTACAACTAAAAATATTTTTTAAAAAAGAAGTGATGCTTAAATTGGACACCTGGCCCAAGAGCTTTTTTGAGGAAATTAACCATAGGGTCTTGCTCATTCATGCTAGGCAAGTACACTACCACTGAGCTATATCTCCAGGCCCCGAGTGCTTTTTTTCTTTGATTTTTTGTGGTCCTAGAAATTGAACCCAGGGCCTTGTTCATGCAAGGCAAGCACTTTACCAACTGAGCTATATCTTCAGCTCACAAGAGCTTTTGATTCTAAATCCTGAACCCTTTTATGATAAGTTATTTTAAACATTATTTAGTACTATTTAGAAATGGCTTACCATTTCATAAAGAAGAAAAGCAGTAAGTAGTTCTTCTATTTTCTTCCACCTGTGCCTGGGCAGCTACTCTTTGCTATTTCTGCTGAATTTTTTTTAATGTTTAATTTTTAGTTGTAGTTGGACGCAATACCTTTTTATTTTCTTTATTTTTATGTGGTGCTGAGGATCGAACCCAGGGTCTTGCACGTGCTAGGCAAGCACCCTACTGCTGAGCCACAACACCAGCCCTCTGCTGTAATCTTTTGTTTGACATTTACATTATGCTCTGTAGCCCTAAAACAACTTTTCTGCATGTCATCTATAGGTTAAGAAAGTTGAAAATCAGTATTATGGTCAAATTATAACTACATACATGTCAACTGCTATAATGCAGCCACAACAATGTACCTGGATGATATTTCCTTCCCTTGCAAGCCCAATGATATGACTTGTGTCAACTGGAGGACAATACTCTCAGCCTTAAGGTGAAATGGATTCTCTTTATATTCTTCCTACTGTTCAACATCATGCTAGCCTTTTTAGGTTGTTTCATATTCATACTTAGTCTTTCTTGCACAGCTGTGAATTTTTCCTAGCATTTCTAACTGCCTCTCCTCTTGGGCAACTGGACAAGAAACATGCTTTCATCACTGCATCACCAAGATCTTCCATCTGCTTCTTTTGCATAGTATCCATCCATTATTAAGATTTTTCAAATTAGAATTGATTGCTTTCCAAACATGCTGCATAGCTACCATCCTAAAATTGTTTTTGATTGAAGTTCTAGAATGTTTCCCCCCTTTTTTAATCTATCTTATACACTTCACTGAGTTAGGTAACCTACTTCAGAAAGGTGTAGGGCTGGGAATATAGCTCAGAGTTAGAGCACTTGCTGAGAAAGGTGTGGATGAGGTATACATATCTCAGTCCTTGTGATTTACCTGCTGGAAGGTTGGATTAGTTATAGAATTCTGGATTTGAAATAATTTTCTCTTAGAATTTGGTAAGGGGAGGGTCTTCTAGCAATAACAGTACAGTTGATAAGTTTAATGCCATTTATGTTTCACTCATGCTACTACTGGCTTTGACCATGACACACCACAGTTGTAATGTTCTTGTTTAAGAATCAAGAACTGGATTTATCATTCAAAATAGTTAGTGTTCATCTCCCACAAGGCTCTCCCCTACATGGGAAAGCTGACTTGGAGCTCTGTGTACCAGATAGAAACTTCAATTGGCTTCAGGACAAGCAGACAGCAAATGAAGAGGGCTTACTTTGGAGTAATACCACTCATATTAACATAACTCATATTGGTACCGGGATTGAACTCAAGAATGCTTAACTACTGAGTCACATCCCCAGTGTTCTTTGAGACACAGCCTCACTAGGTTGCTTACAGCCTGCAATCCTCCTGCCTCAGCCTCCCAAGCCACTGGGATCATAGGCATGAGCCACCATGCCCAGCTCCCAGGTTGTTCTTAAACAAAGTACTCTTATTTGGCTGTTGGCAGGCAAAGCCCCACCAGAGTCAAGTTGCTCCCCATTATCCCTCTATGCTCCCTCCTTAGACCAGCTTTCAGCTAACTCCTACCCTTTGGCTTTTCCTTCCCATTCTAGTCCTTTGCACCACCAGCTCTTCTCCTAGGATTCCTCCAGGAAAACATTTGGCAAACTGGTTCCCACCTCTGCTGTAGCCCTCTCCTTTGTGGTTGTTTCTGCTCTGTCCCATCAATCAGCATAACTTCACCTGGTTACCTTCTTTCAGAATTAGTGGTTGCCATGGACTCAGCATATAGGCCCCTCAATTCACACACTAAAACCTAATTGCCAAAATGATAGTATTAGGAAGTGGGGACTTTGGAAGATGTTAGGTCACGAAGGTGGAGACCTCACAAATGGTATCAGTGCTCTTATAAACAAGACCCCCAGAGAGCTCCCACACCCCTTCCTCCATATAAAGACACAGTGAGATGCCATCCATGAATCATGAAGTAGGTCCTCACTAAACACCAAATCCACTGGCAACGTGATCTTGAACTTTTCACTCTCCAGAACATGAGAAATAAATATCTGTTGTTTAAGCCATTAAGTCTCTGGTACTTATGTCATAGCAACCTAAAGAAACTAAGATAGTGGTCCACCAATAAAACCCCCGACTTTCCTTTGGTGATTTTCTTTGGATTCCTTTACTGTTGTTTTAATGGAGTCTGAATGCTTAGTCTATCCTGTACCAAAAGGCATGATTAGTTTTATAAACAGCCTCTGAATTCAACCTTTTCATTCTAAATCTCAAGGAAATGAAAATACCTTTTACAGTATGATTTTTTTTTTAGTTCAAACAGCATTCTCTGGGAGCCATCTAAAGGCCTGCTCAATTACTTGCACTTTTCTTTGGGAATATTATGGTTTAGATTTCTTTCCTTCCTTTTAAAGCCTTGTCAAATGTTTCTGTCCATGACTCTTCTCTTATTCTGAGTCTAGTGGCTGTTAAATATTGAATGCTTAATAGATGTTTGTTGACTTTCTAAAATAAGAGACAAACAGAATATGAATTTTCCATCTAAGGGTACATTTTTAAAAGTCAATGGAAAAATGGTTCAGGTTTTTCATGCTCAAGACTCAAGAAAAAAATAAAGTGTCTATTTTACATAGTCATTGCTGTAAATACCATTAGTTGAAGCAGCATTTAATAAATACCAAAGAACTTGATGTAGACATGAGGAATTCTCTGGAAATTTTTTTTAGTTATAGATGGGCACAATATTTTCATTTTGTTTATTTATTTTTATGTGGTGCTGAGGATCTAACAGAGTGCCTCACGTGTGTAAAGCAAGCACCCCACCACTGAACCACAACCCCAGCAGCCCAGACATGAGGAATTTTATTTTCAGATAGTTCTCCTATAAGAATGAAAAAGGAATTGGAGGCTAAGCAGAAAAAAATGCATTTAAAAGAAAAGGTAGCAGTGTATTTAAAACTGGCTAATCAGTTCCCAAGGTCAATGGATAAGGCTATTAATAACAGCATATAGTAGAGTTCAAAGTCACAGTGGGATCAAGTGCCAACTCTGTCATTTGATAGCTATATTAATATGTACTTAACCTACCTGGGCCCCAGTACTCCATCTCTGAGGGACCCAGTACATATTTCATTGGACAAATACAAGGATTAATTGAGATAATGGTGATAAACTAGTAACAAAGGGTCTTCCACATTGTAAGTAGTTGATACATGTTGGCTATTACTATTACTAATATTAATTTCTCAATGCTAACAGTGCTACCAGTGATAGCTTTTGGATTGTATGGAACCACTTGATTTAAAGTACCCATAAAAGTATTCAATATAGGAAAACTAGAGGTTAAAGATTCTAGGATAGACACATTCCTTTTCTATTAAAACATTACATACAATATAAATGAAATTTTTATTTTTCCCACCAAACCCAAAGCTATGAATCATTCTCTTGTTAAGAAAGTCTAATGTACAAATGGTGAAGAAATACAAGGGAATATAAGTCTTATCTTTCCAAAGTCAAGCTTGACTTTAAGTAGTTACCCTTTACTAAATATCCAGTATGTGCCCAGTGCAATATTTGAGGAAATAGACATTCTTCTTCCTCCATGCAAGGCAAGCTAACCAATGAGAAAGCTGAGCATTAGAGAACTGAAGTCATCTTAAGGCTCACGTTACTTAAGTGTTAGAATCAAGGTGTCTACTACCTAGTGAGCTACAAAACTCGCCTTTCCCCTAAGCCATGTTGCCTTACCATATGGATGGAAAAAGGTAAGGTAAAAATGTTTATTTGCTTAATGTTTTATCAACTGAATCAGAACAGCAAAAGAATGAGAACCAATATGATGAAAATGTTTCTGGACTTCAGAGAAACTGATCATGGACTATCACAGGTGATAGTGAGAAATATCTGAAGCCATGATGGTGATATGGCCCAGTGGTGGAGCACAAGCTTAATTAGCATGTGCAAGGCCCTGGGTTTGATCCCCAGCACCAAAAATTGAGACAGAAACATCTGAAACTTGATTTAATATAAACAAAATTCTGTTATTTGTGTGTGGGGGGGATTGAACTCAGGGGTACTCAACCACTGAGCCACATCCTCAGCCCTATTTTGTATTTTATTTAGAGACAGGGTCTCACTCAGTTGCTTAGGGCCTTACTTTTTTTCTGAGGCTGGCTTTGATCTCATGATCCTCCTGCCTCAGCCTCCTGAGCCACTAGGATTACAGGCGTGTACCACTGCATCTGGCCAAAATTCTGTTATTTTTTTTAATATTTATTTTTTAGTTATAGTTGGACACCATATCTTTTATTTTATTTATTTATTTTCATGTGGTGCTGAGGATCGAACCCAGGGCCTCGCACATGCTAGGCAAGTGCTCTACCACTAAGCCACAACCTCAGCCCAGAGTTCTGTTATTTTGAATGTTCCTATTAAATGTGTTACAGAAAGGAAAAATGAAGGAAATTTACCATAACTTGCCCCCAACATCCAGAATTATGGTGATGACTGATGGTGTTGCCACTCTGGGTTCTACATAATCCTAATTATTAATCCTAATTACTACTTTTTCAGGGGTCACACTGGGAAAGGGGGAAGTAATTCAAAAATTCAGAAACAAAAGATAATACACCAAACCAGCAGAATTTCAATTTTCAGGGAACAACAAATTGTTCTTTAATGGTAGCCTCACTCACTCTCAAGGTCCGAGCAGCAAGCACTATCATTCTATGATTATAGGCACCTGTTGTGTAATGGAAGCTTCCTGAAAGGCCATGCTATACAGTTTAGATGAACTCCAAATGTGTATCTATATGAATCTTGATGTGATTTGTCCTAGAAAATAGGTCAGCTGTCCTACTGTAGGAAACACACATACTCTTTCATTATAAGGCAACGAAAGTGCTACTTGAAGGTGTTCAGAACCAACTTCTGACCTGTATCTCTAAAACAGAACTTGTTAGAGCTAAAGCACATTCCTTAATCATGTTGACTAAGAGCTTTGACATTCAAGAAATCATAAATAAAAATCATAACTACATTATCCACAGGAATAGAAAATTAGAGGCTACCTAAAAACACCAGGATTCATTTTTCTTAATGATTGGAAACAGGGCTTCAAACCGTGATGTAAAGCGGGTTATTTGATCCATGAGATAATGTCAAAAATAGTTTTAAAGCTCCTGTCATGGTGGCTGAGCTGCCCAGTCTAACAGATTTGGCTGTGTCAGCAAATCAGCTGGCTCTAAGAAAGCAAGAACAGGACTGCTGCTCCAGCCTGCAGAATGAGCAAGGCTGCCATGCACACCAAGGAGACATTTGTTACTACTTGTGATTTAAGTGTTATTGTTTGGCCAATATAAGTAAGAACAGTTAGGTCTGGTTTGGCCTAGACATTAGGAAGAAATACAGAGAATATTAAAATGTTTCTAATTATAAATTCCCAAGCCAAGTCCACTCAGTTCTAGTCACTCAAGACAGGCACGAGCATTCTCAGAAAACCCAAGAGACAGTATTTCTGACTTCATACATTCTAGTAGAATGTAGGGACAACTATTCTTCAATGGCAGTGTGAAGTCTTTTCCCATTTTCATCTCACTGTAGGAGAAATATATTTTTGGTATTCCTTGAGAGGAACTGGGTTTATCCTTAATTGTAAATGCTCTATGGTCATTCTTGTACATAAATCTCTGTACATCTCTATTTTCTTATAATCCAATTCCTGAAGTTTAATTTACTGGACTAAAGACATGCTTATTATTAATTTAATTTACTGGACCAAAGAGGAAGGACATTGTTAGCATTTTTGAGAAAGATTAAACCAATTTAACTTATATGAGAAATGTATGTGTTGGTGACAGTGTTTTTCTGGGCACAAACTCAAAGCACTACAATATTTTATTCATCATTATTTTGAAAGACAAAAGTGGCATTTGTTTTTGTTTGTACTTCTTTGATTAGTAAAGTTACACACTTTTCCGTATACTTATTCACCGCTGTATTTTTAATTTGAAAACTACCTATTTATAACTTTATGCATCTTCTTCCTTGATTACTTCTGTTCCAAGAACTTAGCAGTCTAATACATTTCGCATAACTTTGCAAAAACACTCCCAGTTACCAACAATATAGAAAAAGTTTTAAAAGATATCAAAGAAGAAAAAGTAGCATAATTTTAGGATCTCACTAAAATATACCTCAGGTATAATCAGTTTTTTAGTCAGCTTCTTTGTATTTAAGATTAAAAGTATTTTTCTTTTACCATTGAATTCTTCAACTTCCAGCTCTGGAGCTACCAGGTAATACTGTTCACACAGCATCTTGGCTGTTTCATATGCATCTGCAAAGAGAGAAAAGTTTAGCTGCTGCACTCAAGACAGGCACCAATGCATGTGTACATGTGTGTATGTATGTGCGCATAATAAACAGTCTAAACTGACATATTTAAAATAAATCAACTACCCTCTTTTAAAATAGTCTCTTTGACTTTAATAAAGTTATTATGGGATTAAAACAAAATTTCTCTTTCCTTAAAGTTTTAATAGCCATAACCATGTCAAAAATTAGATTAATAAATATAGCTAGCTCTATGACCACCACAGTTAACTTTTAATCATTCCTAAGTTATTTTTTATAAAAATCTACAACTTAAGACTATAAATACTATGCAATCTGACTAAATTGTAGCAAAAGGTCATTTGTTATAATTTTAAAAATCATAATGTCAACAGTCTTATGATTTGCCAGTTACTTGTAAATGAAACATCTATCAGTATTTGCTGAATGAATGGGTTTCTGTGAGTCACACAATTTAAGTTGTTGGAGATATCACTATCACTTTAAAATGTTCTTTAAGTTAACAGTGCCAGGTTGGGACTGATAGTTATCCAAGTCTAAGGAGTAAGAGTTTACTTTTGAAAGGGGAAAAAAATAAAGGTTTAGGATAAGAAGATAGGGTGATTACAGAAATAGCTGGAAGAGAGAATTCAGGAGGTTCAAAAGATAAGGAACAAATTCAGAAGGCTAAAATGCCTTGTGACATATTGCTTTTTCACTTGAACTAGAAATAATCTTTACAAAAGAAACAACAACAAAATAATATGAGGTCAGGATTCATATCTTCTACTTGTTGTGTAACTTGCATAGAACTTAGTATAGTGCCTGTGTAGATGGTTAATAAATGTTCCTTGGTTTGATAAATTTTAAATGTTTTGATAACTTACTTTAAAAAGTTTATTGAGCTATAACTCTCATACAATTCACCTGTTTACAGTGTACATACAATCCACTGGTATTTAGTATATTTGACAAGTTCTATACGCATCACCACAGTCAGGTTTACATCATTTTCATTACTACAAAAAGAAGCCTCACACCCATTAGCCATCATTTACCTCTATCTAACCCTTGGCAATCATGGATCTACTTTGTTTCTAATACTTTGCCCACTCTGGACGCTTTAAATAAGTGGAATCATATAATGTGTGATATTTTATGTCTTCTTTTACTTAATATAATGCTTTCAAGGATCATCTATGTTGTAAATCAGTACTTCACAGTTTAATTGCTGAGTAATATTGTAGAAATATACCATATTTTTTACCCACTCATCAGTTGATAAGCATTTTGAGTTGTTTCTATTTTTTGGCCATTATAAATAATGCTTCTGTAAACATTCATGTCTAAGTTTTTGTATAAACATTCTTTCATTTCTCCTGGGCATATATCTAGGAGTAGAAAAATGCTGGATCATATAGCAACTCTACATTTAAGCATTTGAGATACTGCCAGATTGTTTGCCAAAGCAATTTTTTTGAAGTTTCACCTTTATAATTTTTAAAGATCAGATATTGAAATTACATTAAAATGCTTCACAGGTACATCTGCAATGTTTCCAACTATGTATAAGCTCTTGGATACAGGCTTGTACTTCTTTTATATTCACACATCCATAATGCACATACTTGTTGGAAATTAAAGAAATAAGAGAAAGAAGGGAAGAAAAAAGAAGAAAGGGGAAAATAAGCTCTACAGAATTTAAATGTTAAAAACTGACATTATCAACCTAAAATAATACAGAGATAATATTAAGGTATTTCCATACTAAGTTTTGGTTCATTTACCTTTGTTTACCTCATATTGATACCAAATTATAATTTTATATATTATTTGGCCTTGGTAAAAATTTGGATTGTTCTATTAAGCTTTAGAATGAAATCAATATGAAGAACTAAAGATACAGAAATAGAATAACTGAGGCTGGGATTGTGGCTCAGTGGTAGAGCACTTGCCTAGCATGTGTAAGACACTGGGTTCAATTATCAGCACCACATACAAATAAGTAAATAAAATTTAAAAAATTCATCAGCAACAAATAAAAAAAGAAATAGAATAACTGAAAAGATGAAATAATGAGGGACAGTGAAAAGGAATTAGAATAAGAGGAAAAAAATTTTTTAAATAATCAATCAGTGTTAAAATAGACATTAAAGTTATATTGAATTTCAATTCTGAAAATAAAAGTTAAAAAATTAAATTATATTAATTTTTCAAGTTTTTTTTTCTTTTAGGATACAGTAAATCTCATAAAATATCCGTTAAATACTTCTGTAAAGAGCGGAAAATTCAAGACTCACTCTTTTTGCTTTGGCTACACCACCAAACAATGCTACATCTCCACCTAGTGACGTGATAGCACAAAGCCAACTATGAACTTCCAAGATCACACAGATTGAAGTCTAAAAATTATGGTTTGTTATATAGATACAAACCAATACATCACAAACCAATTTATCCAGGTGTTTAATAAAGATATTTAAACAGTGCTCTTTCTTTCACGTATAAAACAGAAAAATAAACTAAATTCACTTGATGTGCTAATTCTTCATCATATTAGCTTGCCCAGCAGCATAATTATGATAGTAATGAAAATGTGTTACACAAATATAACATGTGGAGGATAGTGGAGTCAGACAGAAGCTGTCAGCTTCAAATTCAAAGACCCAGTATAGCTTCTTAAATCACATATGAGTAAGAATTTTTAAAGTATCACTATAAATTATAGTTTATCAATGCTATAATCCAGAATTGCATGATCTTTGTAATACTCAAGATCACAATTTAGGCTCACATATACCAGCCAGGCAAAAGCATTTTGGGGGAATTACTGGTAAAATGTATATTGATAGGCATAAATTATCATAGCATATCATATAGACACAACACACTTAGTAAGTACATGTTAAATGGAACAGTCCTCTGGCCCATGATAAAGTTCTCCACATGCAGTCAACTACACTGATGAGAGGTGTTTTGTTGTTGTTGTTAGGGTCTGGAACTAGCAGCCTCAAGTAGTTCCCAAACATGGCTGTGTATAGAATTCATTCAAGTTAAGAAAAGTGCATATTATAAAATGAATCCCTAAAGATTATGAGGCCTGTGTTGAAAGCTGGGAACCCACATTTTAAAACCTTAGCAGGTAACTCTGAAGAGAAACTATATTGGGGGACTAATATAGTCCTGGAAAGTTGCCTGGAAAGTCAAGGCTGGGTCACACTTAATTCTGGCACTTTCTCTCATGAAATGAATGATCATGGGGTACTGGGGTGTTTGATAACACATATGTACTAAGACAGACATATAATATTATTTATTTAAGTAAATAATAAAAATCATCACTATAATAACCAAAATTCAACTATTAGCTTGTAAATTTCTTTTATATCTAGAGCAAAATGCAAGCTGTATTTACACGTTTTCTAATAAAATTGTTCTATTTTCTAACTAGAAATAAAAATTCAAAATAATTACAAATTAGCCAGTATTTACTGCTAATCTTTAAAAGAAAATATTAGGAAAGTATTATTATTTCCTCTGAACATTAGTGATAATAACTGTTTTAAGAATTTATTTGCAAAGATAATAAGGTGATCACAAAGTAATTAATAAAAATGTGGGTGTGGCACATACATACTCCCAGAGACTAACATGCTCAAACCATAAACACACAAGATTTAGAATTTAAAAGGCTGAGCCATAAAAAGTAAGGTAAAAGTTCACATAGCAACTAGCCTAATAGATACAACCTAGCCATGAATCAGTTTTAAGAAACAGGACACAAGAAAATTTAATAGATTAATGAGGTTGTTTTATTAGACCTTCTTACTCAAAATCTACCATAGAATTGTGCTACCAAAAATTAGCCTCTGTCCCAAATACATTCATTTGTTTACACATATCTAATGCAAGTCTAGACTAGCTCAACAGAGAGGATGAATCTGATTGCTGTAAAAACTTAAAGATGATAAGGTCACAAACTTTGAGTCTAATAGAACAGAGAAAAACATAGAAGCTTCAGGTTAAGGAGGTAACCATAAGTGACCATAAAGCATTACAAAGTCATGGATATGTTGCTTTTAATTTTTACTTTTTAATAAAAACAACCCCATACCATTATTGTCATCTGGTAATAACAAAAGGGTAATCAAAGCAATATGAACAAATACTTTAGGATTATACTCCTAAACAAAAACACTTAAAAAACAAAACTGTCTTCTCAATAATTCATGACTTCATTGATCATTTCTAGTTAGAGACACTTGGTAGCAGAGTAATATTATCTCCTTTGAGTACACAGTCACCCAGTTCTGTTCTTTACTTTGTTTTAAATCAATTTCTTCTGCATCATCTGATATGAGGTTCATATACTTCTTAAAACCAATGATTGAGCCCTCAACCTGCACATTCACTTGCTCATAGAGCCAAACCTGAAATTGGGAACTATTTTGCAAGTGTCTGAAGATGAAGTTGATGGGTTACACCTTCACTTTCTGCACTTTTTGATCTTGGCCACAGTACACTAAAATGGAAGTTCACAAACACCACAATGACCTAGAGGCTCCTCAGATAGAAACTTCCAGATCTGGTATACTATTTTCTAGAAACCCTTCCAAATTATAAAGTAATTCTAATAATCGATGTTTATCATAATTTTTCCTACCAAAAACCAATCCCGAGTATGAACTATTAGTTTCTTAAGGAGTAGATCTTCCCAGACCCCCAAACCAGAGCAGACTGGATAAGTAGAACCAATATCCCTGGCTGACCAGAATCCTCAAACTTGTAGTCACAGATGATAACCAAAAAATAAATAAATAAGTAAATAAAAATGAGCAGCACAAATTAAATTCATCTTTTGAAAATTTAGGATGGGGACACTTAGGATGATCAGGAAGGGCAGGAACCAAGAGGGCACAATGAGAATTATCATGATTGCCCTAAACAAACTGCACCTAAGTAAGCCGGTTTTGTATAGACAAAAACAGGTAAATTAAGGAGGCA